AGTACCCAAAACCACTAAATAAATTGCTCAATACAATGAGTAGAGCAGACCTAGTTAAACCTAGAGAGCCAGACAAACCTACCAAGGTTTCACCTAAGCGGATCGTCAAGGAGCCGCCTTCCCTGACGATCCGCTTAGGTGAAACCTTGGTAGGTTTTTCTGGCTCTCTAGGTTAAACTGTATATATATGTATGTGTGTGTGTGTGTGTGGTGTGTGTGAGAGAGAGAGAGAGAGAGAGAGAAAGAGTGAGAGTGAAAGAGATATTTGATTGATTAATTGATTTATTTTTTTACGACTTGTCAACGCTTTATAGCTTATTTTCAGCCGAAACATTTTTTGGGGATTATTTTTATTTCGAGTGAATATTGCATTGACAATCATTGGAGAATATCGATTTATTTCTGATACAAGTGCTACTATTTAATCAATAGCTAGGATGAGGAGGTTGAATACTACCTTTCCCACGGGTCAATCAGTGAAGTGTCATACGTGATACGCGCTTGAGTGATCATGGCTCTTTGGATTAATAACAGATTAAACAGATATGATTGTAGAAGGCTGTCTTTTCTTTCTGTGGTACACTGTCTACCAACCAAGGCTCTATCCTGCTATCAACCCATAGTTAGTTGGGGTGGTGTGAAGAAATAGAGATTCATACCTTTCCAAAGGATATTTGCGCGTAAGTGAATGGTCACAAATTCCACTGGAATTCGAACTCGGCTCAACAATTTCACATTTGCAGCCAATATCCAAAGCACCGCAACACTCATATTTGTATATGAATGAATTTAAAGAACCCGACTGGAATTCGAACTTAGCTCTAACCCTTTGAAATCTGACCACTGCTTTACCGTTGGTAAAGAAAAATGATGTATTGCCCAGTCACCGGTTGAACAGTGGTAGAGAAAAAAATGACTTAATGTCTATCCATCGGTTTTAACAGTGGGTAAACATTTGTAACTATTTTTATATCTACCGTGAAACATTACATATCAATTATTTGCGAATTTTGAGAATCTCAGGTAGAAGGGTTAAATTGTTCAAGAATGCAGAGCTCAAAGGGTTAAATAACCTGCAAAGTGTTGATAAACCGTAAAAAGCGGATCAATCTATCAGTCAATCAAAAGATATTTTACCGGTGGTAGATAAAATTGGCGTAATGCCCAACCACCGGTTCAACAATGGTAGAGAAAATTGATTTAATAGATAGATAGACACCTCTTGTATTAATCAACATTTATCAGCTCCCCATTCCCACAAAAAAGTATTATTTGTAAAGATATTATTGGCAGAGATATGAGTCCACGTTTTCTTCCAATCCGCTATGGTTTAATTGAGGACATTTGTATCACTGAAACTTTATTATATCTTTCCCCACCAAAAAAATGTTACAATCTAAAGAAAATATTTTCGGGATTTAAATAAACTGCAAAGGGTTGATAAGACCTAAAAAACGAATCAAACAAAAATTATCTGAAGTTTACTCAGATACATAGACACCGCTTGTCTTAATCAACCTTTATCAGGTCCCCACTCCCACAAAAAATTGTTCCAATCTAAAAATAATATTTTCGGGATCTAAATAACCTGCAAAGATTTGATAAACCGTACAAAGCGAATCAAATTGATCAGTCAATCAAAAAGTATTTTACCGGTGGTAGAGAAAAATGACGTAATGCCCAGCCACCGGTTCAACAGTGGTAGAGAAAATTGACTTAATAGATAGATAGACACCTCTTGTATTAATCAACATTTATCAGCTCCCCATTCTCACAAAAAAGTATTATTTATTTATTAGAAAAGATATGAGTCTACGTGTTCTTCCAACCCGTTAGGGTTTAATTAAGGACATTTGTATCACTAAAACTTTATTATACTCCTCCTCACCCCAAAATTGTTGCAATCTAAAAAAAACATATTTTCGGGATTTAAATAATCTGCAATAATTTGATAAGCCGTAAAAACGAATCAAAAAACGATTGAACAGTGTTAGAGAACAATAGCTTAATATCCAGCCACTGGTTGAACGGTGGGTAAACACTTGCAACTATTTTTTATATCTACTGTGAAACATTACATACAAGTTATTATTGTATTTTAACTCAGGGGCTCAGGCAAAAGGGTAAAATTTTTCACGAACACAGGGCTCAAAATGTTAAGACAGAGAAAGCGTCAGAAGATTTTATTTTCAGCTTATCAAAACAAAAAGCGTATAATTAAGTATATGGACGTATATCGCGTACTTTTAAGATACAGTTGACTTCGAGCAAAAAAGAATCAATCGTTTCATTTGAAATCTTTTAAGAGTGGCACTATTTGTCTTTAGTTATTAATTGCCCATTCTCTAATAGAAGGATGCGCGTATAAATAAACATACCCGAACATAATATATATATATATATATATATATATATATATATATATATATATATATATATATATATATATATATATATATATAGGCCGAAATTGGTTCAACGAGCATTGCTCTCGCCCACGGTGATCTTGTTCCAACATACCCGGAGGTAGAGCGCTTAGATGTGGATTGGAAACGGAGCTAACGTCTCGTTGACCATTGTTGAAGCTTTGGCACGTATTTCGTTCGGCCACTTGCTCGTCCGTTCAACAGGAAATTAGGACTAATGAGGCAGATTGCCCTAACGAAATGACATTAGCTTGCGGCAGTCGCATTGCAAGATTACCAAGCGTTGTCCTCCCGCCTGGCCCATAAACATATTGACTCGACTTGAGCAACTCATGTTAAAGACACGTTTGATGGAAGCGAATCAAGATTTCATTTAAATTATCAGCAACTGATATTTGTAATTTTTACTCCATTTTGTTTATTTCATTCTATGACATATTTCTTTCATTTAGCCATTTGCTCTTTCTTTCTCTTTATTTAGTTCTTTCTTTCTTTCTCTTTCTTTTATTCTTTCTTTCCTTCTCTTTATTCTTTCTTTCTTTTTATTTTATACTTTTTCTTTCTCTTTATTTCAGACATTCTTTACTTCTCTTTATTTTATTCTCTTTCTCTCTATATTATTATTTCTTTCTTTCTTTCTCTTCATTTTATTCTTTCTTACTTTTTATTTCATACTCTCTTTATCTTATTCTTTCTTTCTCTTTGTTTCATACTCTCTTTCTCTTATTCTTTCTTTCTCTTCATTTTATTCTTTCTTTCTTTTTGTTTCATACTCTCTTTCTCTTATTCTTTCTTTCTCTTTATTTTATTCTTTCTTTCTTTCTTTATCTTCATTCCATTCATTCTTTCTCTTTAGTTTATTTTTTCTTTCTTTCTCTTTATTTTATTCTTTCTTTTCCTTTCATTTCCATTCCATCTCCCTCTTTTACTTATCTTTTTCTTCATTACGTTGTCTTACTTTCGACCTGTATTCCTCTTTTTGAAGTTAGATCTTTGTTTGATCTTTTTCCATAAAGCTTCGTCGTTACTCACAGGTTTACTTCATGGGATTACCATCCTCTTTCTGCAGAACCAAGTTCCTGATACCTCAAGTCTCTACGGCATCTATGAAGAGATCATTCACTACCATAAAGAAACCGGGTAACCATTGCAAATAAGGATATACTAGGGCATAGTTATCACCCCATGTGATATAAGTGGAGCCATGTTTCTTCTCATTTTAGATAGGAAGAGTTGCTCAGCCCCGGGGATTCCAACCCTGCAGCAGTACCTCCCACATTGCACTAAAGATCTTAGGTCTGTGTAATATCGGTACCAGAGAAATATTAGTCGCGGGGTCTGGGCTGAAACCAATTTTTATTCTTGGACCATATACATAAATATACTTATGGCGCTCCCCACGTTAAAACGACATTGTGTCACAGCCACCCTTGATGAGGAGGCCGGGTAGGTATCTTTTTTTATGTGCCATGTCCTTTCAGGACGTAGGTGATCATGGCTCTCCACCTCCTTCTATCCCTTGCAGCTCTCATCAAGCTCTTTCCCTCTGCTTCCTCCCCCAAACCACGTTCTGTCATCCACCAATTCAAGCTCATCAGGTATGTCACGCACCGCTTTCCCTTGTCTCTCTCTCTCTCTCTCTATTCGACCCGTGAGTATCAGGTTCTCCAAGCCCTCATTCCTCATTGTGTGTCCCAAAAACTTCAGCTGCCTCTTTCTGATGTTGAGTATAAGCCGTCTCCTTGGTTGTAACCTATCTAAGATCTCATCGTTGCTCACATGCTCGGTCCATGATATCCCTAACATCCTTCTGTAGTACCACCTAACAAAGAGCGGAGGAACTCTGTGAGTCAACGGCCAGCTAACTAGAGGTGGTGTCTCCATAAACCACCGTGGAGAAGGCAACGAGAAACCACTACCCTACATATCCCAAGACAAATCATTGCTTACAATTACGATTATACGAAATTAAACGGCGTGAAGAGGGGTTAAGTCTATGGGAATTAGCTCTTCGCCCGGTAAAGCCCGACATGAGCAACGGGTAAGTAAACAACCCCTCCCCCAAAAAAAAACTTAAACATACGCAAAGCTCTTGCATAGGATGCGTGTAACAAGCGTCACAAGATCTAGCGTTCGAACCTTCCATCCCCCTTAAAAGACCAAACCTATCGTGCATGGATTGAACCAGTCCTACTGTATGGATCAGAAACTTGGACATTATCTATTCGTATTGAAAGACGACTGGATGGAACATAAACAAATCTAATTAGAAATATCTCGAACATCAGTTGGAGATCCTGTGCAACGCTTAGCACAATTTACGGTGAACTCGGATCAATCTCGCTTAAGCTCAAACAAAAACGATTAAGTTTGCCGGCCGCTGCCACCGGGAAATCGCCTCATCCTTACTTCTATGGCATCCTTCTTGAAATGTCTTCTCACAAAAAATGACCTTCCCAGAAACGATAACTCGGGACTCAGGGTTGTACACTGGGGAACTGGGGACAGCAATTCAGGGCCGAAAAGTGTGGAAAGGGATTGTCAATAGAGTTCCAACCAACCATAGAGACGTCG